GAAAAAAAGTATAAAAACTTTTTAATCTGTTACTCAAAGTTTGTTGCATCACAACAGCCGATATCAAGTACGAAGAACAAAAATCAATACGGAGGTCGATTCATTTTTCGATTTTCTATCGATTACATATTTCTGTTTTATTGCACAAAGCATATTTAAATTTTTATTAACAAAAAACTTTTTGTTAAATATCTCAGAGTTTGCTGCTTCATAATATATAATAGCAAGTACCCAGAAATGAAAAAAAACTGGAATCCATTCATTTTCCGATTCCCTATCGATCGGTATAGTTTATTTTGGTGCACAGTCAATATATTTCATTTTATATCAATAATTCAACATTTTAGAAATAAATCAATTAGTTTGTTATTGTTTGTTTTCTCTTTGTTTACGTTTTTTACGTATTTTTTGCTTTATTTAAATTTTTTATGTACTCTTCCACGTGTATACACAAAAAAGTACCTTTTTATGCAACTCTGAAAAAAGTTTGCCAAAAATGCCCCTGTTTATTATATTCTCTTAGGTTGTAAGTTTCACGTTTCTTTATCTCGATTATTTTAACGTAAATAAACACATAGTACATATCCCTATAAGAACAGTGACAGTCATTTGACCGGTCAATTGACTGTCACTACTGAGAATATACCCATCATTGCGTAGAACAAAGCTCCCATCACTTTCTTAAGGGCAATATGTAAAAAGTGATGGAAACATTTGTGTACATGTGATGTTGCATCACCCTCGCACTTATGAATTCTATCGACTTTAAAACATATATTTGAGCTGCTCACTCTTTTGTTGTTTACTAATCATGGATGATATAAATATTAGACATGATTGACTAATCATGCTTGATGGATATATCCATCACAGTTAACAAATAAAAAAATGATGCATTAATCGGTCATTGTTGACTAATCACACTTGATGAATATATCCGTCAAATCTGACGGCTATACCAATTTATAATAAAACACAATTTATTGATATTTTAATATATATATTTTGTTAATTTTATTAATATAGTAATCATATACATAAATTACCAGTCTCTTCACCATTTTACATATCTCGCAGAATCTTAAGTCCTCTGATGCTCCTATTAATTTGTAGAAATAAGTTGTCTGTAAAGAAATACATAAGTATTCATAAATATCGAAATATAAAAATCATAAGTACATATTTATGTTACCATTGATTGATTAAACTCCGAATTGTTTATCTTCTGATCCACTTCCTGAACTTTTTTAAAATTTAGTTTATAATAATTCTCTTTATTTTTAATAATTTAAAGACTTTGTAATTTTTTTATTTTTTCGCTTCTTGATCTTTAGCTTTCGCAGAAACAATTAATTTGTAACGACGAAAAATACAACTCTGTAACACAGTGACAGTCATTTGATCGGTCATTTGGCTGTCATTGTTGATCAAAATATAAATTTTAATACATTTTAATCAAAATGTAGTTGTTTCATTCTTTCATATGCAAATTCAACCCTATACCACACATTGGGTCCAGTAACGGTCATTTTACCGGTCATTTGACTGTCATTGTTGATGGAATCATCCATTAAATTTTTTTTTTTTCGACAATTCTATAAAAAAATGTTGCGTGTGTGTTAGTAAAATCATTTTGTATGTGTTAGTTTCGGTCATTCATTTCTTATAGCCCTTCAAACATTTAGAAGACAAAACCATTGCGCATCATCCCAGACGCCACGTCAGAAACACTTCTGGACGATTGTCAGACGAGAACGCACATTTTACAAAAACAAAATACATTGATTTCGAATTTTCATCTTCTAGAAATATACTTTTAAGTTACTTCCGGATGATAGTTAGAAGAGTGCATCCATTTTGCTTAAACAAAAAACCATGACTGTTGAATTTTTTTATCTGGAAGTATATGTTTTAGTGACTTCTGTATGAGAGTTGGGTGAGAACACACATTTTACAATAACAAAATACATTGTTTCCTAATTTGTATCTTCTTGATTTGTATGTTTATGTCACTTCTGGAAGACAGTTTGAAGAGTGTTCACATTAATGTTGTATTTTATTCATCTGGAAGTGTGGATTGTAGTCACTTCTAGACGATTGTCAGACGAGAGCGCACATTTTACAAAAACAAAATACATTGATTTCTAATTTTCGCCGTCTGGAAGTATACTTTTAGGTTACTTCCGGATGATAGTAAGAAGAGTACAAAAACAAAAAAATATAAATACTCCATTTTTAGCCAGAACGCGAAAAAAATAAAAATAAATAATGCAGAAATTTTGCTAAGTTCAGTGATGTTTTGTGTTTTGTCCAGTCATGTTCAGTTTTAATTATTCATTGTAAAACTTAAATGAGTTATTGAATAATATTCATAGAAAAATAGTGTAATTAATATATTGTGAATCTTAAGTAATAAAAAACAATATGATAGTGTTGTGTTAAAAGTCAACTGTTAATAAACATTTAAGAAGGTTTTGTTAATTGGTGAAGTTTATTAAATATATACCAAAAAGTAATTATCTTCAAGGATTATATAAATAAAATTAAAAAGTAAGTTGTCATATTTTACATTAAAATACTATTTTAGGAATAAGTTAACAACTCTAAACGGCTTCCATTTCCATAATTTTTAAACGAAGTTCTAATATGTTTAACCTATTTAGATTTATTTGAGTTAAATCTTAACTTTCAATATTTTTTAAACTATTTGCGCGTTTAGGTCCTCTTTCTAGATTACGTATGATCACTTTGAGCTAAAATTTTATTTGTATTTCATTATCGTAACAAAAAAAAAAATACATTAAAATTTTACTTAAGTATTTAAAGGCTAGCTGGAATCATTATATTCAAATTAATACTACTGTTTTATACATACATAAATTATTTTTTGACTTGGGTCACTCGACACGAAATTGCCTATATAAGATATTTAATATTAAAATCAGATATTTTTAAAACCACCTTTTTTAAATAAATACAATTCTATTAATTTTCATATAGCTTTGGATTTAATTATTTTAATTATAGGTACTTTTTTAGTTATTAACACCAGGTCTTTCTATGACCTTTATATGATACTAATATTATTAATATTGAACATGCCATTCCCAATATATTGAACCTAAGTAGACAGTTTTTGAACGTGTATAACTCCTTAATTAGAAGAAAGCAAACAAAAAATAGTATTGCAGTATTAGTGTCAAAAGCAATATCCTGTTTAGGGTCGTTAAGGTGTTTCTATCGTTAGTGATTGTAAATAATTTTAAAAATAATCCATGACTTAGTAATTTCAGATCTTTATAGACGGTTTAGTTTCAAGTTATTTAAAAAATGTTCACGAAAGGTAATGTTTTTATTGATTCAAAACAATAAATAAATTAATTAATTAATTTTTAATTATTTTATTTTTTTTAGAAAGCAGTAGCTAATATTGTACCCCCTATTAAAATACTTCTAACTGAATTAAAATATAAAAAAGGGATCTGGTAAGTTATATATGTCTTATTTCATCACGCCGTTCCATTAAAAATGTCGATTATTTGCAGAAAATGTAAAAAATGGATCTGACCGTTTAAACTTTGGTGGGAAATGTATTGATCATAAGAGAATCCTATTTTTATTGCTTCCTAAAGTGTAACAGGTAATTTCAACAAATACAAAAGTACTTATGTACATATATTCAATATTAATTATAACATTATTTTTGTTTATTTCATTGAAGGATTAATGTGTTCCAAAATATAACTCTTACAATTTGATGGATTGATCATAAAATTTATGAAGAACTACAAAAATATTTTAGAGTCCAACGTTTTACAATTCCTGAAAATTATCTTATTATAAGGTAATAATTCTAAATTTTTGATACATATGTACATTAGACCGGCTCACTCTGTATGGAAAGCAAAAACGTGTTTTTGTTACCCCTCTCAAAATTCCCAAAATATTTTAAGTCTAGCGATGAACGTTCGTGAGCTGGACCAAATCAATAAAAGGTATTTTGGAATTATTTTTTTTTAATTTTTGTTTGTTTTGCAACAAAATATCCAATACGGGGTATCGTTTTAAAGGTATTTTAAAGCCGCGTCCTATGATGTATTAATCATAAATAACCGTCTGTTTATAATTGTCATATTCCAAAATATTTAAAATGTTAGGTTTTTCACTAAGAAAAAATAAAATGTATGTACAATTTTGCGCACCACTAGACTTCAAAAAACCTTTCAAATGATACCACATACTGTATATATTGATTAAGAACTGCTGTATAATTTAAAACAAAATAACTAAAAAGGGACTTTTTTGTAACCGGTTCAGCTCACGAACGGCCATCGATAGAAATATTTTGGGAACCATTATAAAACATAACAAAGATTTTTTGAAGCTGGGTAAAATATTGAATTTAAGATGAAGAATCATCATATTACATAACAGCGAATATTTTGAGGGGGGTAACTCAAGCACCATTTTTTGTGAGCCCGTCTAATGTACATATATTACTTTTTTTAGATTAGTTGTTAAATCAATTATTTTTTCTACTATTTTAATTTCAATTATTTCAATAAAAACTATAAAATTTCATTTTATTTAGATTTATTTTTATAGATTTTATTTTGGTGAGTATACAAATAGAAGAAGAGAAAACTCATCTTCTAGAAGACGAGAATACTCATCCTCTAGAAGACGAGAATACTCATCTTCTAGAAGAAGAGAAAACTCATCTACTAGAAGATAAGATAGGAACACTTCTAGATGATACTAGGTAGTCACTTCAAGAAGTGACTTCCTAGTCACATCTAGAAGAGTCTTTGGCAATACCTTACTTCCAAGAGTCATCTAGAAGTTTCTTCTGCGGGTCTTCCAGAAGTATCTTCCACGTTACTCTTAGACGTTCCCCAGCTCGGCATCAGTTCTTCCCGACTGGTGACAAGAATTCTTATACTTCCGCAACATCGCTGGCGAGCTTTTAACACGTTTGGAAGTTTCATACGGGTAACTTCCGCAATAGAAAATGTTTGTAGGGTAGGGATGTTTATATAGTTATCATATCATATAAATAATCGTAAATTTATGATTTCTTATAAAAATTTATTTGTTTTTATTTTTTTGCCTATTGTTGCTAACAATGCGTTATGTGATTCCCTCAAGAATGATAATAATGATACATTAGTAAATATTGACTTCAGAATTAAAGAAAAATCAAATGAATATATTGTAATTTTTAAACATTATTATTGGTCCCGTACAAGGGAAAAATACATTCGTGCGGCTTTAAGCAGTGAAAATGTAATTTGTTAAATTCCTATAATTATACAGGAAATATATATATACATATATATAAATAAATATATAATTTTACAGATTTCAGATTTTAAAGTTGTTTTGCGACCAAAGTTGTCGTATTTGTATCCCAGTGATTTCGATGTGGTAAAGTCTACTAAAAATGTTGTGCAAAAATTGTCGTCGCATCCAGCAATTAAACATGTTAGTTCTCAGTCGCACATTAAGAGAATACTTTCTTATACGACCGTAGCTAATGTGTCTAGATTATATTCTAAGAGCAACACAAAGTTTGTGAAGCAAAATTTATTGTTGAAAAATGTACCCATGGAGCTATCATATACACTAAATGCAGATATTTTATGGGATCGGGGAATTACTGGAGCGGGAATAAAAGTTGCTGTTTTTGACACAGGATTAGCTAAGAAACATCCACATTTTCGAAATATTAAAGAGCGGACGAATTGGACAAATGAGAAAACATTGGATGATGGTGTTAGTCATGGAACCTTTGTTTCAGGAATAATTGCATCCTCAAAGGAATGTCTTGGAATAGCTCCAGATGTAGAACTTCATATTTTCAGAGTTTTTACTAACAACCAGGCAAGTTACATTTAATCCGAAATTTTTCGTTTATTTAGATACTTATCTATTTTCTAGTTTACATGCTTTAATTACATTGGCCTGCAAAAAATTGTTTTCACTCCATAGAATTTTAACGGAATATTGGTGTAGATTTAGTTTTTTTTAGAATTCAGGCGTTTTAACAAACAATTCTTATCACGTCTACTTTTTTCGCAATTTTTTTTTGCAAGAAATTTAAAGTAACATTTTAGAATCTAGACAAAATTGGTAAAAATATAACAATCATGTAAAATTGACTTTAATGATGTCGGAACCTATATAACTTACTACGTTGCAATTGTTCTTCTATTCATTTTCCTTAACATCTTCCTACTTGTACATAATATATCTTGATAAAACTTTTTCCCATGTTCATCTGATACTGTTCCCGAAAAAAAGTGCGAGTCCAAAATATTAATTTTTAGTGACAAATTGAATTTTTTGTTTATAGTTTTCAGCCTTTTCTTCCCTAAAAAGTAATGCCAAACGTCTACCAATGCGACCATTTCTACCATGGTAAAAAAAATAACTTAAGAATTTAATCTAACAGCAAGTTAAGGAGTAAATGGAAACACGAATAGGAAATTTCCAATAAAATAAGCTGATCATACTTCCTTTTTTAAAGAGGACAATCATCTATTTTAACTGGCTGTCATCTTTAAAATTTATGTCCTCTTTCTGTCATCTATTTCCATAATATGTCATCTTTATATTTACTTTTGTAAATTAAAACAAATCTTAAAATACCTTAAAATTTATTGACAAATATACGATTTGTATTGTAGGCCCAACCCTACTTTAAGCCAACAATAAGTTATGTTTAAGTTCATGTCAAGTGACCCAATTCTAAAAATCGATTTTGTCGAAATTTGCACCAATTAGATGGTAAATTAACATGGTAAAAAAATATTAGAAGGTAATTTCGATTTGATATTTTTGACGAGAAGTTAATTTTATTTATTAATATTTAAAGAAAGCATTGCCACATTTAGGAAAAGTGTAAAATACTTCAAGAAATTTTTAAACAAACATGTGTAATTTAAAATTCTAATTTTTCTAAAGCACTAATTATGCATTTCCAAAGCAACTTCAAAAAACATGTATGTACTTGAATTGAAGACCAAAAGTAAACGATTTGTTGTTTCTTTTTCTATAATATTTTTAATTATTTTAAGTACAACAAGCATCAATTAAGCCAAATCATACACATATAACCACGATCAAAACATGTGTTATAACTAAAAGAAGAAGGTACATATATTATCCGGGGTTTATCTGAATTTCGTTCATATAATAGACCAATCAAATTATTTTAAGATTAATAAATATCAGTGTTCTGGGAGGGCATTAGTATGGGAACTAGCTCAAATTGTTGGACGACATTCGTAATACTAAATAAGCTGCATCAACAGAGAATATGATTATACCTCTAGCTCCCCATATTTGGTAGTGTAGGTATAAAAATGCATGTAATAAGAAAAGAAACAATATTTTAAGAAAAAGAACACATCCACCAAGATAAATTACATTACTTGAAGAAGAGACTCGATCTGCAATTCATATTCCCATTATTATCATTCACTTTTTCAGTTCTGTATTATAGCCATGATCAAGGCACGTGTAGCCAGTTTACCTTGCCCATGATGTTATAGATTTGAATGACTTTTGGAAGCTTTCCTTATGAGCAGCCCCGTTTGGGATTTGAACAAAAATGCTTCTAGCTCTCACAATAATAAATTTAAATGGCTGCGGTAAATCTCCATCAGCAACTTTTCAGCAATTTTTCCACAATTTGATAGTGTATGTATATTTTCTTTGAAAATTATTTGATTTTTAAACAAAATATATGTATACAATTTGTTAATTTTGTTGGAAATATATTTTTATTTTTATTTGAAATATAAGAAAAGTCGTACAAATTATTACAGATATGGTAGCAAAGTATAACAAGTAGTCCGACTCTTTGACAGCAGTACCTAACTCTAAGTATGTGTTAGTGAAAAAGTACCTAACTCTAAATTTGTGTTGGTAACAAAAATGTATATGTGTTGGTGCGTTTTGAACACACAGAGTTTTATAAAAATTACAATTTTAAATTTGTTTGAATTTTCAATACTAAAAATTGAAACTCTGTAAATTAAAATTCAACTACAACAAAAATGAAATGTCAATAAATAGAAAAAAAATTTTTCCAGTTTAAGAAAATTAAACAATATTTTATGTGAAAAGTGCAATGAATCTATTTTAAAAAATTACAGTTTTTTTGTGGATAACTGAAATTTCGCGTACGATCCTTAAAAGTGGTCAAAAAAGAAAGGTAAACTTTTGAGGGGTTTGACAAGTTTAAACTTCTCACAAGAGAGTTGAATTCACACGGAACTCGTATATGTGGGAGAGTATATTTTAAATAATTCATCCTTCATAGGCTCCCATAATTGTGGCCCTACAAAGAATCTCTCTTTTTTTAATACTCCTTGCTAACTTTAATACATCCCGCGAGGATTTCTTTGATGATATATAGATCGAACGATGCGTAATTAAGAGGCCTACTAAATCATATTTTAAATGTGGGTGGGGGGTATATTGATTTTTACATTTCGTTTGTAACACATCGAAATATTGGTCATAGACCCACAAAAGTATATATATTCTGGGTCTTTATTAAATTCTAAGACGATCTAGCCATGTCCGTCCGCTGTCTGTCTGTTGAAAGCACGATGGTGTCCGAACATGTTTTCGCATAGGCCCCATACAAGTTTAAACATGTTTTATAGATATAAATATCTCTTCAGATATTAAGAGGATCGGTCCATAATTGATTCTACCCCCATATAAGATGCCCGTCATAAAATGGCTTTAACGCTCATTACTATAACTTGCTTCAACATTAACCCAGCAAAAAGTTACATGACAAAGATGTTGTTTAATCTGAGGTTCAAGTGATGACGAAGTGGTTCGATTTAGCTGAAACATGGATGATTTTAACATTAGCGTCTTATTGGAGATCATGTGTTTATGCAAGAATTCCGAATAATCGAACCAATGCAAATTCGATGATTCGAAAACGATGTTTCATTGGTTCAAGCTATTTGTTTTATATGTATTTTTGGAAGTTATTTTAAATATTATAATAAATATGGGAAAATATATAAAATAATATTAATAATTAAAAATATTTCTAATAACACATAAATTTCCTTTGATTAAATTAACAATCTGAATTAATTTTTGAAGTTTTAAAGGAATTTTTTAACTGCGGAATATGTTGAATTTAGGAAGGCGTTTAGAATGAGTTGTATTAGCACTGTTATTAAAGAAGTCATGAAACATGCATTCACTTTGCACTCTTGTTTTGTGGATCATTCATGGACTAAATATGAAATATATTTTCGCTAGAAGTGTATCCAACCCTCATTGACAGTATTTAACAAAAAACCAGCAAAAACTTACACAAATTTCAAATTATTATTTTAACACAGTGATGGCATTGGAGGCAAGTACTTACCCTGCTCCCCATGGTATGTAGTAATCATTGAAAAGTATTATATACTTTTCATTATACATACTTTTAAAATTTGTGAGCACAATACTATTTAAAGTTTATTAAAAATGTATTACTAAGAAAAATGTTCGAGATTTAAATTCAATCCAATAAGGGTTATGAAAAATAGTGAAATTCCAAGAATTGTGACGTGAATGATTTCACTGCAGACCAGTGTTTTCGAAGTTTGAAGTTCATTGCAGAAGGTGGCCCTATACATACAGTGTCTCTCATATATCATTTTAGACATCATTTTATAATAGATTTTGTGGGAAAAATAAATAAATAAATTTATTATGTTGTCCAGACAGTCCTTAAATTTTATACCACATTTTAAAAATTAAAAAAAAAATAATTTACATAAACTAATTTAACTTTATTTTAAAAAAGTGCAAAAAATAGCTTCACAAAAATATTCGAATTTTTTGTATAAATCATATTTAGATTAGCATTATGAAGTAAAAATAAATAATTAAAATGAAATTAATGTTTTGTATAATAGCCTTTGTTTTTAAAAACAACTTCCAAGCGTCGTGGGACCGTTTCTACCAATTTATGGAATAGTTCTGGCGTTATTATGTCCCATTCTTCATGCAAAGCAACCCTGTGGTGGTTTTAGAGGATAATGAGTGATTTAAAAGTTGTTCTTGTAAATATAACCACAAATTTTCAATGGAGTTTAAGTCCAGACATTAACTCCATTGAAAATTTGGTGAAAGAAGATACTTAGTGTCGTTAATGATCAACATTTTCACGTACCAGGTCGTGTATTTTGGATCGTTTTTCTGTTGAAAAATAAATTGAATGGGTTGTAGCCCCATTTTGGTGGTACTAGCATGCAAATTCTGCTCTAAAATTGACAAGTGGACCTTCTAGTCTATAATTACAATAATAAATTTTAGCAGTCGAACACCGTAGACGGATACAGAACCCCAAAATATGGCAGAGCAACTTGGGTCCTTTACAGTTGGTTTTAAGTTAGATAATTCCAAGGCATCTCCAAGCTTTCGCCATATCATTTGACGACCATCTGAGCCAAAAATATTATATTTGTTCTAATCGTCCAAGATAACCTCCTTCCAGGATCCAATATTCTTACTTATGAGTCTATTTGCGGAGTCAAGACACTTAACATCGATTAACTTCGATATGAGCGGTTTCCACCTTGGTACTTGACCATGCAAATTATTGCTCCCTAGTACTTTGCGCACAATTTCGACACTAATTTTTATTCACAGGACTGTCATGAGTTCGTTGTTAATTTTTGGAGCTGATAGATGAAGGTTCTTCGGTATTTCCTCAGTATTTCTCTGTCGTCCTGTATTGACGATGGAATTCTTTGTTCCATGCGTGTAATGACAAAATATATTGTCGATGGGAATCTATCAACCATTTCCTATATGTATTTAATTGATCGGCCTTGATTATACAGATATAA